ACAAAAAAAAGATTCCATGAAAATAAATTACCTACGAATTTATCAAGGCAAATGTTTGTGTAGTGTTAAGCAAAAAGGTTGGGATTTTCCTACACATATCTCGACCTGAGTTGAGAGAAATGTACTTTGTGTTAAGAGGCAACGAATTAAAGCATGAGTTGCAGAAGGTAGTCAATTAGAAGAAGTAACTCAGAAAAATGTGCTAGTATAGCGCTGAAACATGCTTCACTGCCATTAACAAGTGTGTGTGTGTGTGTTTTTACGTGTGTTTGTAGGCGACGTTGCGTGTCCATTGATACTACAATTCCTATCACATTAATTACGTTCAACTCCTCTGATTTATACACAACGTAATGGCTCTACCTCGCCTGTGTCCATTACTGGCACCGAGCACGTCAGGCAGCAGACGATATCACTCTTCATGACTGCGCTACTTGGCAGACATACCACACCGTTATATTGTTCATTCTGACTGAAAGAGAAAACACTGTGTGGAGTGAGAGAGACAGAAAGACCTAGGAGTGAAATAGAGACGAATCAAACACATCAGTCACAAGGCACATGAGCCACATAGTTTATGTTATGCGAAATACAACAGCTACGAGATGTCTGTGTGTATGTAAAAATAATAATAATAATAATAAACGGTTTATTAATAGAGTTGCAGCCGGTTGCTGAAAATATACAAACTTACATGTGATTTAGACAGAATAATATACGTTCAATACATTTACAGGGCTGTACAGTACATAAATCAGGAGCTGTTTATTATTTTAACAATAGATGGGATGGTGCTGTTCTTATATCTATCAGTGTGGGCTCTTGTGGGCTGAATTTTGTTGTAGTGGCGGACTGCGCGAGGTGGGTGGGGGGCTGCCGGTGGCAGGAGGTGGCGATGACGAGGGTGGTGCATTAGTTGGCTGCCAAACCTTTCCAGTGCTTGATGGTGGAGGTCACTGAGGCATGGCATTTCCAGGGTGAAGAGAGCGTTGGTGTAGCCGAAGTATTCTGCGCCGAGCATGATTTTGCAAGCCCTTTTCTGTACCTTCTCTAGCCGACGTTGTTGGGTGGAGTTGAGAGAAGACGACCAGGCTGGTGACACATACGTTAGTTTGGGGAGAATAAAGGCGTTGTAGATAGTCCTCAGCTCTGGCGTGGGTGTCCCAAGTGACCTAAGTCGTCGTAGCATGTAGAGACGGTGTGTGTGTCTGTGTGTGTGTGTGTGTGTGTCTAAATACCACTCTACCTGGTATGGATAATTAACAAACAAAACCAATAATGTTAAGAATGTAACAAGTTTACTCGTGTCTAAGTGCATAACTTCCTGTACCAATAAATGTTGCGACGCGTGAAGGATCAATGATCATATTTACGACAACACTCCCATGGCTTTTCAATAGAACTAAAAGCATTATTGTTTGCTTTATTCTAAGGTGTTGTATACATACCCGTTAATAAAGATAATATATACTGTATAAGGAACCTGAAAACGCCGATATTTACGATAAAAAAATAATGAATTTATGTTAACCCGTGAAGGTATAAGAAGCAATTTCCTTTTTCTCAGTCAACGTTACTGAGAGTGTGATCAAAAACACAAAAAAACATAACTACTAAAGCTGCCTGTATCTGCCGGTAGGGATCGTTGAAAGTATCTTTTTGCAGAGTTGTCAGGAGCAATAAGCGGGAAACAATAATATCGAACGACTGCATTTGGCCAATATAAAATAAAGTACATATTAAAACATTTTGTTCTTGTGTATTGCATCTGTACCTTCTTTCAACATCACGTGATATCCCACCTCACCATTACATATCACCAGACCTCACCATCACCACCACACCTCACCATCACCACCACCATTCATCATCCTTCACCATCAGAAAACAACACCACACCTCACTATCACCACCACTCATCATCCTTCACCATCAGAAAACAGCACCACACCTCACTATCACCACCACTCATCATCCTTCACCATCAGAGAACAACACCACACCTCATCATGCTTCCTATTGGTTATTTCTATTTGCGTTTCCTCATGTCCGTTTTATCTACCTACCCTCCAGAGATTTCAGAGAGGATTACGTTAAGCACAGCGCACATCAATGAAATGGCTCGGAAAATAAAATCATAACGTTAGGAAGAACAACAACAGCCTCGCTCTCTCTTCTCCCTCCGTTGCCAAGCCGTTCACAGCTCTCTCTCTCTCTCTCTCAGAATTAATTACTCTATTAGGGTCCACAGCGGTTAAGTAATTATTCCATTGGTTTAACAATCTACGGGAGTCAGATGGTCTTTAACGTCAAGACACGGTAACATATGATTATAAGTTTAATTACAGTACAGTCTCTCATGATCACTATATTGATTTCCTTTGTCCACACATTAAAGACCTTTAATCTCTTCCATCGTGTTTTTACTTCCCTCCCATCTTTACCTCTTTACCTTCGCCTCCTTCCTTCTTTCCTATCTACCTCCTCCAACTCCACGGTTTCTCTGTGTTTCTCCTTATCTCCATCTACGTCTTCACCTCTACAGTCCACATGCCTCTCGCTATGTGCTGAGTAGTGACCCTGATAGGATTTCCTTTTATGAACTTTATGATGTCATTTGTTTTAGTTACCGCGCTGTTAGAATCATTGTTAAAACTTTTAGGTTGTGAGATCTTATTTTACAGTCTGCTTCTGAATTCATATTATTTACAAGAGTGAACGAGGAAGGGAGTCAAAGAGCGCGAGAGAGAGAATGATAAATAGAAGAAAAAGAGAGTTTTGGTGAGGTTAGATTAGGTTAGAAACGCATTTCCTGAACTGGGCAAAATGACTGAGATAAGCTTCCTTCCATTGAAGACGATGGCGTGTAAACCCAGAGAATGACAGACACATAGACACTTAAGCGGGGTAGGTCTAGTACCAAGTAATTCTCTTGTTCGAGAGCGAGGAACAACTCTGCTCTTGGCTTACTTTGGAGGATACAGTACAGTACAGTAAACGAAGGCTTTTATGAGTCCGTCTTCTCTTAGTACTCATACATCTTAACATAAACATCCATTGAGTTCAGTAATCAAGAAAACTAGCTACCTAATACAAATAAATTTCTTTTGGTTGGAAACAAATGACTTCAACGTTTTTTCTCAGGAGTATTATGAAAAAAGATGATTATGATTATTATGTATAGTACAATCAAAAGAAAAACTCATTGGCTTGAGGGATGAGTAAATCTCTCCCCTGTATTTACGTTACATTAGTTCTTGATGAGAGTAATATTGGCATGCTTGGGGGAGATGCTGAGGAATCTTTGGAATGATCTCTTGGCACTTGGCTAGTAGTGTTATGTAAGTGGTAGGTTCCTATGCTGACGTAGGTACGATGCTGATTGATTATTGTGGCTCTCACTTTTTCATTTCCGGGATGAGAGGTGGGGGGGTGTGGCATAGGAAGTAATATTAATGCCCAGTTGTTAAAAAGTGTCTCACTTACCTGTGCAATATTATAATAAACTAAATATTCTCACAGTGAAATTTCGCTATGGGACCTTAAAAAGTTTTCGTCATTTAACTTGTTTAATTATCTCCGGCCCCAACCACCCACCCACTAAAAAAAACAAAAGCATTAATTATTGAACTAATACAAACGCCAAAAGAAATAAGTTCCCAAATAAAAATAATGGAATATTCCGAAGAGGGAACTTAGTGAGGCTATGCCATACAACCTCATGTAACTCGTCAAAGTTAAGGGAATTTCCTAACTTCTTTCATTACTGATACTGACGACAGCCTGTCCTAAGTTGGTGTCTTTTTGTTTGTCTGGTTTAATATGTGGAGGTGTTATGGGATATTATTTTTTCTGGTTTGTCCGTCCGTCTGTTCGTCACCAATATGGCTACCACTTTTTGGAGGTTTTCCAGCAAACGTCATGTAATCAACGGTATGCATACAGAGGATAGGTAGAGCACTTTATTTTTGTGTGTATGTGTGTATGTCTCTATGTATATCTGTATGTTTGTATGTCTGTCTGTCTGTCTGTCTGTCTGTCTGTCTGTCTGTCTGTCTGTAAAGCATCAACACAAACTTTTATTTTTCCTGCTGTTCACGAATACGCAGCAACACTGATTGGTGAACAGTCACTTTATATGATTGTATCCTTGTTTTTTTTTCACTACAATATAACTCTGGTAGTTATTAGTGTGTGTGTGAGCTTATCTATAATTTATATTCCCGAAGATGAAATAATACAAGACATAAGTTTGCTTTTTCTCTAAATTAAGTTAGATTATGAAATTATATTAAAAATACTTACGTGTGTGAGTTCCTTGTATTTTACTCAGGTTTTAGCCTCTTGAACGATGGTAACTCTTTCTGTATACTTATTTATCCCACTGGGTAAGCCATCTTGACCCCTTGAGTATGTTGACACTGTCCTCTGGGGTTAACTCAGCACACCTAGAGGTCAGCATTAGTTCAGTATAAAACAAAGTATTCCACTTTCGTGTTCTGTAGATACACATACAACTTTGATGTACAATGAAAGTTTGTCAAAAAGTTTATGTTTCATTCCGTTTTTTATTCCTAAAGCCCGATTTGCAAGGTAAAAGTTTAAAAAAATATATGAATATAATCGACAGGACGATGTTTTCCTGCCCTTTTCACTCAATGTATTTTTTTTAACTTTAGTGTTTTAGATTAAATACAGCCATTTAGCTAAGTGTATGTTGATTTTTTTTACTCTCACTATTTTAAGCCAGGAATAATAATAATAATAATAATAATAATAATAATAATAATAATAATAATAATAATAATAATAATAATAATAATAATAATAATAATAATAATAATAATAATATTAATAATAATAATAAATGCTATCATCATCATTTATTTTCTTATATGTCTCGCTAACAGTAAGTATTATTCAGCATAAGAAAATCACAAGGAAGAAAAAGGTGAATAAAAATCTAGTATTAAACGTATGATTTTATTTACATCCAATGAAATTATACTCACACGGTACAAACATTAAATCTTATATACAGAATCTTATATAAATACACCGTAAAGATTATCAATGCACCAGAGAAATACAGCCATAAACAATGAATATGGAAGGGGAAAAAATTCAAGATTATCATCCAGAAAATTTATATAATTTGGGATAAAAAAAAAACACTTCTTATCAAGATGTCCTGATTTAAGGTTTCCTCTGCCTTAGGTTGTAGAAGTTGGTGTCATTTTAATAAAAACAATAACACCCATTTAATTCACCAAGTGTCTATAACTCGGTGTCAAAAGCGAGTTCAGCAATGTTGGGATATTTGTCGACCGCAATCTCTTACAGTATAGCATTCCGTGAACACGAAGAGTTAATTAATTTACATCTAGGTTCCTAATTAATGTAGACATAAAATGGTTGTCTATTTGTAAGGTAAAAATCTAGATTAAAGAACATAACATGCTGAGACATTTCTAAAATACACACTGAATGTTTTAGTAATTAGGAACATGATCATTTTTGCAGTAATTAATTGGCGAAACAAAACTTTGTCAAGTATTGTAACGGGTCCGTCTGTTTGTTAATTTGTTTGCAGAGTATTGTCCTACATGTTCAGCCAGTCTTTACCTAAATGTTGCAAATGATCAGTCTAGGTTTATAATACTCACCGAACAATTTTGACAAAGAGTAAACAAAGAAATATTTTAAGGTTAGAGTTGTATTTACTTGTTTTTCCTCTTTAGAACATAATTCAGCTTATTAGTCAATTGGAGCCACTGTTCACTGTGCTTGGTGTGAACAGGTGCGTGTATCTGCATGTGAATATGTGTACATATATACATATACTAGTTTACATTTGTGCATTTATAATTGTGATTATGCATGCATGTTGTATAAATGCATATCAATATCTGTATGGTTTTTGTATAAATGAGTGTATCTTGATCTACAAGAATTATTTTGCTATGTGTGTGTGTGTGTGTGTGTGTGTGCGTGTGTGTGTGTGTGTGTATGTGTGTGTGTGTGTGTCTGTGTGTGTATGTGTATGTGTTTGGCTATGTTTATAAATAAATTATTTGACATCTGCAAAGTAATTACCCATACTCAATTGACCCTAACACTGAAAACGCATTGGCATATATTATCACACTTACTGAAGGAAGAGAATTCAGTCTATCTTATACTAACTCACAGTGTGGATTCCCCTGACATCTCTAAGTACCTGTCAATCTTATCATGCGGCAGGTCTAGGTAACTCATCCGAGGCTGACTCCTTGTGTCACAAATGGTGGCAGCGGTGGGATTGTGATTGTTTCCATTTTGCACTATGTTGCCATCTGATGGGCCCATGTCTGTTTCTTTATATCCCAGACCATCAGCACTTGGACTAAGTGAACAGGTGCGAATTAATTTGAGAGAAACATCTGTGGCTGCTGTGACTTGTAAGTAGCCCGTGGTTGAACAGCTTGACTCACGTCTTTTCCGTGGTTCATCACAAAATCTGAAATAATATAAAAGCGCGAACTTAAATCCACTGCTGCATTTACTGAATGAATTTTTAAAATCATAAGACGGTTTAGATATCACCGGAATATTGCTTCAAACCTCATGAAATAAAAAGTCAAGCAACGTTTTGTAAATAGCTAAAACATATTTTATACTCAGTTATGGTTGTAAGTCATTCATTCTTTAGATATTACAGGAAACGTGATTTGAAATTTCTAAAGAAAAAGTTATATTACCAAATGATAATCAAATAACTGCCCAATGTGAAGAAAAAAAATCTTCTAGCATAACAGGAAAACACATTTTTCCAAACATTAATTTGCATCTTACATCATAACTCATGAAACTTAATATAAGATAATAATAATATGGTACCATAAATCACTGTTCCCAAAATTACCAGTAGTCATTAATTATCTCTATTTATGTGATTTTTGAGACAGCAGAACAAGGTACTTAAAACAATTAACTTGGAAATGGCTGTTCTTCAAATACAATTAGTATCAATATTACCCAGAAAAATAATTAGATGTTAATATAATTTACCATTAAACATAATGTGACTTGTGTATGTAATAAAGTAGTTACAAAAACATGCTGTGGAATTTAATCATAGTATTTTTAGTTCAAAATTCATTAGAGAAACTGGAAACACTATATTATTCAACTAATATTGTAAGACAGCCTCTTAGCTTTAACATTGTAATAGATATTTTTGCCTCAAGAGTGTAAGCTTAAACTAACAAACAAACAGATCACTGTAGGCTACCGAGTGAAGATATACCCATTTGAGCCTATTGCATTGACAGAAATGATAGAAATGTGTGCCATGATGCACCAACGCGAGGAATTCCAACCATCATTCAATAATGAGATTTGTCGAAAAGCACCGAATAAATGATGAGTTTTGGCAGAGTCCTTCATTTGCTTCACGGAATTAATCTTGCTAGGATAATTTTATCGCTCAGTGGAAGATTTTCCCTGAATGAAGTGAGACAAAAGTTATATACATATATATATATATATATATATATATATATATATATATATATATATATATATATATATATATATATATATATATATATATATATTATAATATAATATAATTTATTTACTTTTGAATCTAGATTGCCAGATGTGGGCAAGTAAACTACCCATTGTGAACAAGAGAAGTTTGTACTGGCGGGATCAAGAGGCGATAACTGAAGGTACCAAAGGACAGATGTGGGCAAGTAAACTACCCATTGTGAACAAGAGAAGTTTGTACTGGCGGGATCAAGAGGCGATAACTGAAGGTACCAAAGGACACCAAAGAGCATAATAACTGATTAACATTAAAGCCTGGTGTGAAGTGGGCAGTTATGGGAGCATTTAACGGATAGTTTCGAATAGTTATGTGTGATAAGCTGTGGTGAAGGAAGAGAGAGTGAACAGTGGATGATGTATAAATGTGAATGTTTATCTCAGCGATTGAAGTACTGTATCTTCACTTTACCAAGGAAAACTAGCCTTACTTTTTTCTACGGATGTTAATAGATACTTTATTTGTTAATGATTCATAGGTAACAATTACCTTTGATTCCTTGATGAGCGCGAGCTCCCGAAGGCGGTGCTGTAGGTGTGAGCACGTTGCAGCCCCGAGGATTGATGTAGCTTGAGCAGATAGCGAGAGAGCCGGGGACGGCAGCAGGGCAGCAGACGATACAGCACGTTGAGGTAACCTTCTCGGAATTTAGTGTTCATCCAGCAGAGGATGACTGGGTTGTAGCAGGTGTGGGACATGGCCAGCCAGTGGAAGACGAACCACAGGTGGTGGAAGTGTGGCCAATATTCCACATCTTCCACGAAATCCAGCACCACCTGGGGAAGTCACACGGAAAGGTGATTAGAGAAAACGAGACACAATATTAAAACAAATGTAGGTACAGTACAGTTGAAGGAGAAGGAAATGGTTCAAATATATAAAGGCGTATTCGAAACACCTCCGAACAACAGAAAATCAAAACGAAATAAAATCATGAAAACATTATCTCTTAACATAATCAAAGAGAGTGAAAGTAAAGCGAAATTAAGAAAGGGAAGCCTACCTATGTAAGCGAGTGTAAACAGACGAGAGGTGTAACCAAAAACAACAGCGATGATACGAAGAGGCGAAAAAGTGGGGAGAGACGGGGATAAAATTAAAGTGGAATAAATGAGGGAAGTAATACAACAAGATATCAAATTAGGAAGCAAAGCAATAGAATATATTCTTTTCGGACACTTGTCGTAATGATAACAATAAAAAGGAAATTAGATAAATTATTATACATATAAAGACCATGTCCAAGGCGTATAGTAGAAATCGAAGTATTGATTTAAACGAAAAAATTTCCGTAGTCATAAAACAAACTAAACATTAAATTAAGACCCAAGTTAGTCGCAGAACATCACCCAAAGAAGGAACAAAGTAACATGAAAGTAATATCAGAGGAACAAGAAAACATCAAAGTAACATCAAAGGAACAAGAAAACATCAAAGTAACATCAGATGAACAAGGAAACACAATACTGATAACAGTTCAGGAAATGTTCGATTATTCCAGCAATTTAGTGTGATGAGGTCGTTGAAGTTACTGTCGATGGGGACTGAGGAAGTTATGGACGGATTATGGTGATACTAAAGATACTAACCGTGAATGTATTGGCATCACTGACCATGAAGACGAGGAAGATACTAACCAGGAGGAGGTTGAAGGGCAGCCAACAGAGGGAGTACACCAGCACCACCGTCAGAGTCATTTTGATCATCTGTACAAGAAAAGAACGACATGATTGAGATGTTCGTCATTACATCATGTTAGTGTGTCTGAACAGCTGAGATGGGAGTCGAGATAAGTTTAGTTTCTGAACTCCCTTTAAAAAAAATCAATAGCTGAGACTGCTGAGATAGTTAAGCATGTAAGGTTAATGTCTACACCAGGCATAATTTTTAAGGTGAAGAAGCTTTTAATAAAGGAGAGATAAAGGAAGGTAACGAGAGATTTGCACCCTTCTCAAAAAAATATTTACATCAGAGAAGTAATGAGATGGATACAGGATAATTAGTTATTAAGAGGTAAAGATAATTTGGAAGGAGATCAAAAGAAAATCGACGTGGAAAATAAATAACTAGACAAAAGGAAGAGTCAAATAAGGAAGAGGGAGATAGAGACGAGTGTAGAAGGCGAGAGAGCAGGTGTGGACGACGATAATTAGGGGATAACCCCGGACCGAGAGAGAGAGAGAGAGAGAGAGAGAGAGAGAGAGAGAGAGAGAGAGAGAGAGAGAGAGAGAGAGAGAGAGAGAGAGAAGGACAGCCGAACACAAAATCTGAAAGACAAATAGACAGACAAACCGAGACTAGCATACAGAACACGAAGGGCAGGGCAGCAGATAGAATGAAATACAGGCAGAGAAATATATTTAAAATGTTGACAAGAATTTTTGTATTTTTTCGTCCAAGATAACCTCATCCCATGTCACTAATCGTTTCCAAGATGGATATGAGGCGGCTAACTGAATCCAAAACATTTTAAAGATAACAAATTAAACAAGAACACAGAATAAACCATACAGATAACACGCAGAGATAAGAATGCAGGTTTAATCGTAACTGATATTAAGTGGACCACCCTCAAGTTACGGATCACATTTACACACAATTATTATGGCTGACACCATATTATACCATGTGAAGGTTCGTCAGCATATCCCACTCACCAGCCAGCGCCTCACACAGCAAATTGGAAATGAGATTGGATAGGGTGTTTGTAGGTTGTCTAATATACGAATTATTGTGATTATTTTGATGACTTGGGAATTTATATATTGATTATAATAAAATGTATACATAATGAAGATAGACGGGAGTGTTGCGGGGTATTCCTTACTCGTTGTTTTAGTCCTTTCTTAAATATTTTTTTTATTCCACTTTTATAATAAGAGATACAAAATTTAAAATAAAATTAAAAAATAATAATGATAATAATAATAATAACAACACCTTAATAATAATAATAATAATAATAATAATAATAATAATAATAATAATAATAATAATAATAATAATAATAATAATAATAAAGAAATCCAAAATTAAAAAAATATCAAAAGTGAGAAACAATATATGTATGTTGTGTTGTCAATATTAAGAGAAGTCAGATCAGCAACCTGGGACTTAATCACAATTTTCGTGATGCCATATGGCAGCAGGGTCCACCATTAGACAACACATTATGCTTCCAATATCTTCCCAGGCGTTAGTACCTCCCTGTTTGGTGGCTTCCTACTACCTACTACCTACTGATGTTGGATTTAATCAATATTTTGTGGTATGTACAGTATGGTTGAAGAAGAAAAAATATGATGAAGAAGAAGAACAGATGAACAAGGAGAAGAAAACAAAATATGGAGTAAAAATAATGACCTGGTGTACCTTAACTCATTTGTTCTTACCTCTCTGGCGTCTGTTGTACGGCATCCAATACATATTAATATCCTAAGTCTTTTCAACCCGCCGTGGTGCTGTATCGTCTTCTTAGCCTTACACCTTCGTACCTCTAGAGCTCCTGGTCTCTCTCTCTCTCTCCTACATTATCCTTCAATGACTTATGGAACCTTCCTCTTCAACGACAATTCTTCATCTTTAAATTTCTTTCTCTTAATGCAATGTACATTTTCACCTACTTAGATTTTCTTTTAGCATTATAGTACCTTTTATAATTTTTTTTTTTTTTAGATTTTCAGTTTTTCATTTCACACCTTTTAGTATCCACTTCATCGTGTTGTGTGTTAAGCTCCATGCGAGTGAGTCCTGCCAGCCACTAATGGACCCAGGAAGTTGGCTCAGAGGTACGTGGTCACTGGGTCAGGCTCGGTAATTCATTTTTTTTTTATCTTGCATTGTACTTGTGTTTTTTTAATTAATATTCCCCTCAGTGGATTTTTATCTTGCATTGTACTTGTGTGTTTTTTATCTTAATTTTTCTCCAAAGTGAGTTTTTGTCATATTTCTGTCATTCTTGGTTTTTTTTTAATAATTTTAGTGTCAGTTTGCTGTGCCATTTGAATTTATTTTTCTCCATACGGAAGTCATCATTCTTAACATTGCCTAAAAAAACAATAATCACGGGTTCTTTTACGCTATCTGTTTCTGTTTACTTTAGGGAAATAATTACAATTTCACGCCATGTTCTGTGTAATCTAACCCAAGAGTAAGCAATCAAATTATTAAAGTAATGTACCTTTAAGAATAAAATTATTATGAATTTGTGTCAGAGTGAGTGATTTTCCATCAAATTCAGGAAACTTAGAAACTGCCTTTACCCCCCCCCACCCCAACAACCGGTAGTAAAGGTGAAGATTGAGCTCCTGTTCCAACACACACACACACACACACACACTACTACTACTACTACTAATACCACGAGGGCTAGCCAGCGGCGGCAGGTAAAAGCGAGACGGAGCAAGCTGTGCTTGCACCGTAACACTAACATAATGCTGCCACTCTAGACGCAATTCACCACCCTATGTGTGACACACACACACACACACACACTCAGAGACAGGTACAGTACTACTAACCTATTCTCCAAGTACTTGGCTTTTTTTTTTTTGCTTCAGTTGTTTACCCAGTGCAGGTAATTTTCCTCCCAAGATTGTTCAGAGTAAATTACAATAATCCATTTTATATTATGTACTAAGTTTTGTGGAAAAGCCTGGTTATTTAGGATAGCTTAATTAATTCCCTTGTGTGTTTGTATGTATAGAAACAGAATTATTAATGCGAGACGAACAAAGTGTATGCAGAATTCTTATAAATGAATATGTGTCGGTATTTCATAATAGTGGAATATGATGCTGAATTAAGGAAATTTTTGTTGGATAAAATGAAATGCAATTCATTTGACACCTGTACACGGTGTTATTAAAAGGGCTGAGGCTCTTAATAGGCTTAGCCATGTCAGCATTATTATTATTTTCCAAACTTTTTTTTTTTCTAAATAAACTGTTTCAAAATCATCTCTGGACAACCGGACAGACTTTTATGTTGGGCAACTGGTCATCAACACGCCATCATGTTGAGTAATTGTTAAACAACACGCCATCATGTTGAGTAATTGTTCACCAACACTCCATCACGTTGAGTAATTGTGCACCAACACTCCATCATGTTGAGTAATTGTTCACCAACATTCCATCATGTTGAGTAATTGTTCACCAACACTCCATCATGTTGAGTAATTGTTCACCAACACGCCATCATGTTGAGTAATTGTTAACCAACACGCCATCATGTTGAGTAATTGTTCACCAACACTCCATCATGTTGAGTAATTGATCACCAACACGCCATCATGTTGAGTAATTGTTCACCAACACTCCATCATGTTGAGTAATTGTTCACCAACACTCCATCATGTTGAGTAATTGTTCACCAACACTCCATCATTGGCATTTTGGTAATTCCTGTTGCTTTGCTATCACGCTGATATCTTCAGGGTGAAAAAACATCAAAAATTCGAAACAAATTTGCATTGTTCGTGTGACCACCCAAAATACGCTTCAGAAACTTGATCCTATACTTTAACTTGTGATGTATTTCTTGTGTTCCAAGTTTAAGTGTGTATTTGGATAGTAAATTGATGCTAATAAGGGGAAAAAACTAAATATATTCCCTCCTCCATATTATGTACGTAGAGTAACTAAAACAACTATCTGTGTTTACTTTGTGGGAAACAATATGAGACCGTGGACGATAAATTAAGGTATATGAGGGCTGTCACTAGTCACACGTAAAATTTCGGAGCATATCGACCCCCACCTGCACAGATAGTTGTTTTAGCTTCTGTGTTACCTGTTAAAGATAACTAGTAATAATGCTTTCATGTGACTTCAACATAGCTTGTACATTTTGTTTATTTTGTGTCTGATTTTTCATCCTGTTTCTCGCTTAGTCTATTCCCTACCTTCTGTTTTTTTGTGTTTTTTTTATTCATCTCTCCCTAGATATTCCTGATTAATATATTTTCTCGATAATCTCCTCACTTGCATCATAAGGTTCCTTTCCCCTCTCCATGTATCTTTCTATCATCAAATACTGAGTCAATATCAGTAATTCATTGTTTTTATTCCTCTCTCTCTCTCTCTCTCTCTCTCTCTCTCTCTCTCTCTCTCTCTCTCTCTCTCTAATCAACGCCGTAATTAATATCCTGAGTAATGGAAAGAAACTTAAATAATAAGAGTAGCTGGCAATTTTGTATTTTGTCATATTTCCCTTTCTTCTTATCATCAATATCTCATAACACGATCTTTAATATCCATGTTATCACCCAGTCTTTCCATTCATCTACTAAAACTTGTATTTTTTTTCATTTACACACTAACTAACAATAAACCCTTCATCTAATTTGATTCTAAACCTTCACATCACTTCTATATACAGTATATAATCAATAATATCTTCGTACACAGGTCCCAATCCGACTAAATTTTTGTATGCCATTAACAGCCTATTAACGCCAAGGTAACAATAAACACGACATCGTCAATAATGAATCCAATCTTGCGTGACACACAACCACCTGAAATTCTCAAACAGAATCCTACCAACACCCATTTTCTTTGCCCCTTCACATTTAATCTCTATCTGGCATATATACAAATCCTTTACACACCACCGGTTTCATTTGCTGCAGCATATACACGGTCGCTTTTATACACCTGCTCGCTTTTACCTTCTCTCCTCTCATTTATATGTGGCCACACCATGCAATTACCATCTGCCTCGTTTCCCCGTCCTTTTTATACCTAGTTAATCTCACCTGGAGCAAGATGCCCCTGGTAACTCCTTGAGAACTTCTGCCATTACTTACTCCCTCAAGGGCTCTCATATCATCCCCTTCCTTCCTCCTTCCTCTCCCTCACATAGCCTTCAGACATAAGATTTTCCTTCAGTTCCCGTGTTTGGTGTAATGGGTCTGCAGGAAGTTGGTTCACAGGAAGATTATTCTACTCTCACCTGAGGCAACCGCTAATGTACGATTTTTTTTTTGACTGAGATCATAAGAGCTAGTGAACCACCGGGAAGTTATTTCTTTATATAGTTTTTTCCTACGTTGTTACATTTTTGTTTACTCTTTCAATAAAATTTAAATCTCTCTCTCTCTCTCTCTCTCTCTCTCTCTCTCTCTCTCTCTCTCTCTCTCTCTCTCTCTCTCTCTCTCCCTGTAAGTATCGTTTACTCAGTCACATATACTTGTTTTTCTCTATTATTATTCTCCCCAGCGTCAATCTCTCCTGATAGCTATTAGTATACAGGTATAAATGAGGATTTATTTTACCATGTGATATAAAAGGAGTTCTCTCTTCCACCTTTCTGAAGCACATGTTTGTTCATTGCACGAAAACTCCTACAGATATAATTACCATGATATTATATTATCTTGACTATCATTTTGATTATGATTATTAAGGTAATTATTTATTATACCAGTAATTAATAATAGGAATCAATCAACTTTCTTTAATTTTTTTACGGGGCATGTTATTAATTACTAACAGGCAAGAGGTATTGAATAATAAATTTTCTTTGGCAAACGGTAAATATTTATTTTGCTCAGTTGCAGCTGCTAAATACACCTGCCAAATGTATCCTCCAATATCCACCTCACAGTTTGCATTTTCCAACGTCGCTGGCAATTTACCCTCATGCTTCAAACTTGTTTTATGCAAATCACAAACTGTTTGTTTCCGCTATCTGATAGAGTGAGAGTAGGAGGGGTAGTTAGGGCCGGGAGAAAGAGAGGAGGGGATGAGAGGAAGGGTGGGCAGTTAAAGAAGTAGAGCACAACAAGGCTTATTGGGACTTTGGTGACGTAAACATGCCACGTTGATACTTGCCAAGATGTCTCAGAGTAAATGGACGGGGCAGTTAACACGACAGACACTGTGCAGTATGAGATAGTGGACAAAGAAGGACCACAGATGAACCAAAAAGGCAGGTAGGTCAAGGAGGCACTGGAACGCTGGTTGAGCAAAAGGACTGATAGGAAACGGAGGTAATATCGGAAATGAAACAGACATGGGTAGCTGCAAGTGACAAATTAGGACCACAGGAATAGGGAAGCGCCTTACCTTGGCGGGAGAGTGGTCGCTGGTGCTCTTCCTTAAGAAGCTTCGACCTGTCTCCGGGGAGGTGAGCGCCGACAGCTGTGTGGATGAAAGGTGTTAATGGTGGCGTCTCAGAGGAGAGATAAGACGGTATAGAGACAAAATGGGGTATGAGAAAGAGAAGAAAATTTAAATTTTATACACACACACACTCAGAAAAAATACATTAGTCATATCTTTCTCGTCTTATTATTAAGGAAATGCGTGAGGTATTGTAGGGGTGTGTGGCGGTGCGTGAGGTAGTGTAGGGGTGTGTGGCGGTGCGTGAGGTATTGTAGGGGTGTGTGGCGGTGCGTGAGTGTAGGGGGTGTGTGGCAGTGCGTGCGGTGCGTGAGGTATGTAGGGGTGTGTGCGGTGCGTGAGGTAGTGTAGGGGTGTGTGGCGGTGCGTGAGGTGTGTGTAGTGGTGCGTGCGTGAGTATTGTAGGGGTGTGTGGCGTGCGTGCGTGTGTGTGGGGGTGTGGCGGTGCGTGAGGTATGTGTGTGTGAGGTGTGTAGGCGGTGCGTGAGGTAGTGTAGGGGTGTGTGTGTGCGTGAGGTGTGTGGCGGTGCGTGAGGTATTGTAGGGGTGTGTGGCGGTGCGTGAGGTAGTGTGGGGTGTGTGGCGGTGCGTGAGGTAGTGTAGGGGTGTGTGCGGTGCGTTAGGTATTGTAGGGGTGTGTGGCGGTGCGTGAGGTAGTGTAGGGGTGTGTAAAGGTGTGTGAAATAGTGTGAGGTGTGTGACGGTGTATATGGCATTATGACCGACCGTTTCTGTATGAGTAACCGTGACAGATAAAAGTCATTATTTTATGCCAGTTAGAAATAAAAAAAAATTGATAACCTTAGACACCTCTCCTTTATGTGTGTGTGTGTGTGTGTGTGTGTGTGTGTGTGTGTGTGTGTGTGTGTGTGTGTGTGTGTGTGTGTACTCTCACGCATTCATCGCGCTGATAATCCTAGGAAAATAATGACGGGTATATTATTGTAGAATGTCCACTCCTGCCTAACGATAAAAAAATATATCTATTCTCATCGCCTCACAATACTAGTAATTGTTCGCTACAACACAACAATACAACAAATGCATAATATTCTTTGTTATATTTTCGCCACACTGCAGCAGCGTTAACCCTGATAACACGCCAGGATTATTGATAGTAATTCAACATTTAAATTTATACTTTAGTCAATAATTTGTTATTTTTATGGTTATTATAATCTTTAATTAACATATATAAAGAATTTTGATGTCAGGAAGTGCTATGGAATGGCTCATGAATATAGTTATTAATGTATATATATCTCCGTATGTATGTTAGTTGCAATAATGGTGTACAGTATTATAATGTGTACAAACAAAAATGGAAAACAAATAGAGACAATTAAGGATTTATGTGAGCGTATACCTGTACTGTAGATGGAATTATTGTGTCATAAAGTAATAAGATGCAACATACTATACAAACAGATGGATACTCACAGGTGTAACGTTATGTCTAGGACCGGGAGATGTGGTCGGCTTACATCCCCACACTTTCCATGCGATTCTTAAAAAAAAAATAAAAATAAATAAAAAATATTCTTATATCTCATTCATCCAGAATAATCTGAATTTAAGGTAAAATAATGTTAAAATTATAAATTTCCTGATCTAACAGACACATCAGTAATATACAGCAGCAATTATATTTCAAGGAGAACTTAATTCTTGTTAGAGGGCAAATTAATTCTATTAGATCCGGCGGTCACTAATGAGGAGGCACCTTGGCTGCTTTGATCCCCAAGGCAAGAGGAGGAAGCCTAATTACATCATGCATTATCCTGTCAGACGGCCAAGTATACACAAGCTTCCGATACACAATCCAGAGAGTATAAGACCAACATTGTCTTAATATAATGATAACAATTAATGGTTCACTGTGCGGAAATAGACATAAGCTTAAAATAAACAGTGAACAGAAATTAGGTAAATTACATCTGGTAATATGTGGGAATGGGTCTATTAACAAAAGTTTTTGATACAGAGGAGGAAACTTATGCTGAACATACAAGTAAATTAGAGTTTTAGTTTGGGCAGCAAGTTAATACGATCTGAGAGCTTTCTCTATAGTTGGAGAGGGGCTTGTCTTAGTCCTGCAGCAACTCTCGTGTTGTACAGCTGTAAAAGAAAATAATATAATAATAATAAACGGTTTATTAATAGAGTTGCATTCGGTGGCTGAAAATATACAAACTTACATGTGATTTAGACATAATAATATACGTTCAATACATTTACAGGGCTGTACAGTACATAAATCAGGAGCTGTTTATTATTTTAACAATAGATGGGATGGTGCTGTTCTTATATCTATCAGTGTGGGCTCTTATGGGCTGAATTTTGTTGTAGTAGCGGACTGCGAGAAGTGGGCGAGGGACTGCCGGTGGCAGTAGGTGGCGATGTCTAGGATGGTGCAGTAGTCCACTGTCAAACCCTACTAGTGCGTGGTGGTGGAGGTCACTGAGGGATGGCATTTCAGGGTGGAGAGAGCGTTGTTGTAGCCGGAGTAGTCTGCGCCGAGCATGATTCTGCAGGCCCTCTTCTACACCTTCTCTAGCTGACGTTGGGTAGAGTTGAGAGAAGACGACCAGGCTGGTGATGCATACGTTAATTATGGGAGAATAAATGCGTTGTAGATAGTCCTCAGCTCTGGCGTGGGTGCCCCTAGTGACCTGAGTCGTCGTAGCATGTAGAGTCGGTACGAGGCTACCTTGATTGTGTTGTTTACATACGCTTTCCAGTCCAGTTTGTGGTCTATAGTTACACCCAGGAGTTTGGCAGACTGCACTAACTGGAGAGGATGGGCACCCACTATAACTGCTGGAGCTTGCACTGGAGTGGTGGCGGTATTGAAGTGCATGACTACGGTTTTGGTGTGATTGATGGTGACCTTGTTCTCCGTAGTCCATGCTTGTAGCCTGTCCAGAGTGCCTTCTAGCTATGAGTAGTCCAAGGAGGTGTTGTCCACTGTCACCCCCACAGTGCAGTCTTCCACCGCATATCAATAATTCAGCACATGGAAATCTGGATCTCAGGGGGTCAGCAGTGTCTATTATATGAGTAACCAGTACACTGGCGGTAGGTAGCGCGGGGGGGGGGTGATAAGCCACACAAACAATGAGGGAGGCAAGCTGGTGGGGGCGGGACGTGGGAGTGACCTTAACCCACAAGGCTTCTACATCCTCAGGTACATTAACACCTAGGTGTGATGGTTTGAGGTCGCTGCAACAGTAAAGCACCACACCACCACCTCGCCTGTCCTTTCTAAGGTGGTGAAATAACTCATAGTTTTCTATGGCACAGATCTCAGGAACAATTTGCCACGCCTCGGTAATCGCCACAATATCTGCACCAACTGACTTCACTGTAGCACTGACCTCCTCCACCTTGTTGCATAAAGATGTAACATTGGACAGCAATAAGGATGGTAGTGTGTACCATAGTCGAGGCACTGGCTTAACTTTCCTATGCTTGCTCGGTGTGATGATAGGGATTCGTCTGGGAATGCGGCGACCCCGTCTGCAGCCGCGGTTGTGAAAGATTCTCACCTCCTTTAGTAGAGTGATGATGTGGGGTGGAGGATAGCCAGCACCAGACTTCAGCCGGAACAGGTCGGTGCGACGGTATCGTGACACTGGGACGCACATAATCATAAGTCTAGCACTCACAGTCACTGACACCTTGAAAATACGCACTGTCTTTCCGTAAACGTACTGAACTGCCTTAAATTGGCTATAGGAGGACGTGATGACCTTGCCTCCTGCGGAGCGCCAGGGGACACGTCCTCACTGTCACTCAGTAAAGTCGCCACTGTGTGTGTGTGTGTGTGTCGTGGTCAGAATGCTCGCCTCGCAAGTGAGCGGACCTGGGTTCGTTCCCCGGGCAGGGTGAAACAATGGGCAAGTTCCTTTACGTCATTTGCCTCTGTTTACCCAGCAGTAATTGGCTACCTGAAGGCAAGGTCTCCTGGTTACCATCTGGCAAATTTGAAGCAAGTTTTACTGCTGGATTCCCTTCCTATGGCTAACCCACTTTTACAGAGTGGGAATTAGGCATAATATCATACAAGTATAGGACTTTCAAGCGCCCTCTTCGCTGGCAAGGTGAGGTCGTTTCTTCTTGAGGCAATCAAAATTAGTTGAGCTTATCACATTCTAAATATTATGTTAAACCGGCTCAAAAGAGATCATTTGATATGGACCAACTCACTGACCTGACCTCCATGTGAAGTAATATCAATGTTAATGTGATATATTCGTAAACAAATCAAACACTAAATAAAAAATATGAATGAAAAATAATGATAATTTTAATCGTCGTCCATAATCAAATTCCCATCACAACGGTGTCTGGGACCTGAGTGTGAACAGGCTGCTCCAACCCTTCAAGACTCACAGTGGTGGGTGAGGAATCTTGAGCTACAACGCAGCACTTAAGGTGGGGATGCTTTAAGCCCATCGTGGTCTAGCGGAACTGGTGATACGCCGAGTGTGCGTATTCGAAAGCATTGATTTGAAGAAAAAAATTTGTTTTTTTTGTAACTCGTTTACGATATATGACTATAAAATATAGCTGTGTTTTACCTCATTATTTTTTTTTATTAAGTTAATAAAATGAATAAGAGAAAATAAGAAAAAGATCTCTAAGTTTCTTCACAGTTAACTGTCACTTTCAGACAGAGTTTGGTAGTGTTGTTTCAGAGGTTCATGACCAGCGGTGATATGTGTTCGTTACAATGAACTCATTCATATGGGACTATAGTCTTTATAATTGGAAGAGTAAAGGTTTCTTTTGTCCACAGAATAATTTCACTTGACAAATAAAAAAACTAATTACTTGGGTTCTATTGTTCGGTGAATCAAGTATTTCGTATATCAAAAAGAGAGATTCAATTTAAGTCTTCTCACTGTATTGAGACAAGTTCATTCAGTCCCATGAAGCTCCGACACCAGGTTTTAGATTTATGAATCACTGTCATGAACCTCAACGGTCAGTTCAGTTGCTGCTGTTGTCGTGTTAAGAAGTGTGATAGCGAAGTGTTATTGTCGTCGTTGGTGAGGAAATATAAGACCAAGAGGTAAGCGGTGGTCATCACTTATTGTATTTGTTGAGGTTATTGTGTTAAATTTGTGGGGGTACAGTACGCGGTGAGGATGTTGTTGTGGTGTAGGCCGCAACATCACTAACTGCAAACACTATATAACATTACCTTATTCCCTTTCACTAAAACACTCTTCCCAGTTACTCCACGGAAAACACACAAATAACATTTCACAAGGCCTTACTTGGGGGAATACATAGACATATTGTTTTAATCAAGTGAGAAATAAGCAAATTTTCTGCCGGTGTGTTTACAAAATGGAGGCTTGGTCTACCACCCGCCGGCAGTGAAAACATAAGAAGGACTGTTGATATTTCCTTACAATGTATGAAATTGTTTTGGTAATAAAGGAGCAGATGGCTAATACCCGAAGTTGTTCGATTTCGTTAATTTTTTCACACGTTCTTTGGATGATCGAGGTAATATATACTCTACGATTTTTTTTTTTTTTTTTTAATTTTAAGTACTTTTTCTTTTTAGTTCTTTATCTACCATCATAAATCAATTGTAGTGGACAGGGTATGAAGGATGAGGGATATTGCAGGGTAAAACACGGTGAAAAACTGATCATAGACAGTAAAATATGTCTTCATGCTTTGTATGTGAAGAAATTAATTATTTACCATATAGTACAGCGGAAAAATATGTCGTGTTGGCGCGTGTTGTCGACTGCTCTTCGTTTGTTTACACTCCGACCGAGTGGGTTGCTCGGTCCGAACATACTCTCACATCCCCCCCAAAAAATAGTAAAATTACACTGTCGCTCAAAGAAACTTGCTTTTGTTGGTACCAAATATAAAAGTAAGAACTTCCTGTTTCATATGGCGTGGGGTCCGCCCCCCATCGAGGAAGTTAGGTGTGGTTAGGGAGGTTTCTTGGGTTGGTTAGGTTAGGTTAGGTCAGGTTCTATTGGTTTCTGTGCATTGTCGTAATTTTTGTATTACTTACGATCATCCAAAGAGCATCTGTTGGACAAATTAATGAAATCGAACAATGCGTTGTAGTGTTAGCCATCTGCTCAGTAATTACCATTGTTATGAATGCATTTTCAAATATTGTCTATCTGGGAATAATACATCAAGTGAGTACCGGTATTTGAATAATTTTAGCTTCTATAAAACTGCACTCCCCTCACTCCCATATTATGTACTTAACTCAAAGTAATATAAACGGAATTGTGAAAAATACTAGAAATTAAAGATTTTAAAGATTTTTTCAGAATTTTATGGGAAATAATTTCAACTTTGAGATGTATAAAGAGATATCTTTTGTGTATTATTTCTTTCAACATACTTGCAGTGAATTATTTATCTTATTGTGATAATAAGCCTTAACTAGTGATTTACCTAAAGCGAGATGGAAGTTTAATTTGATTTTTTTTTTCAGACTGGTGAAAGTTAACAGCT